GGCCTCTGGGGAGGGCTTCACAGAGGAGATGCCCTTTAACTGCACATGAAAGATAAAAATACGCCTGTCTGAGGCAGTGGGGGAACTGGATTCCTCAGGAAACAATCAATGCAAAGACTTAGTGGCAAGAAAAAACGCAAGCTGGGAGCACTTAGGCCACGCATCTCCTTGGGGGTGGCGGGGGTGGGGGGAGGAGGTGTTTGATGAGAATTACCCAGAAAGAAGGCTGAGCAAACTCAATGGGGTCTAACTGGGCAGGGCTGGGCCTCTAGGCACCTGGGGAGGACAGGAAGCAAAGGGATGAAGTCTCAGGAGCTTGTGCACAGATCCTGCCCCGTCCCCTGTGTCCCTCCAGACCTGGGCAGCATTTCCTTGCAGCTGCAGGCTACAGCCTCCGAACAGGAGGATGTGAGGAAGGGGGCTTGCAGGGCAGGAGAGGGAAAGCAGCATGGATGATGGAACAGGTGTGGAGAGAAAAACGGAAAATGAAACATGCTTCATATCCTCAGGCACCTCATCTTCAGCTCAGTCAGTGCTGCAAGCCCTTCTCCACTCTACCCACGCACAGCCACGTCCCTTCAGGGGATGCGTAAACTTGCCATTTGGCAAATAATAATCCATCTGGGTGGTTTTGGGGTTTTTTTGAGAGTTTTTGGCATAGAGTGCATGCACTTGCTGGAGAGACAGAGACAGGTGATTTCCCTTCTCTTCCAACCTCCACTTGGGATTTTGGACACACACGCACACACATCTGGTGTGTTTAAGACACTAGGTCCAGGACTTGAACCACAGTTGGCCATGTGCGAGTCCAGCGCCTTAACCTCTATGCCAGCTGCTGGTCCCCTGCATGATATTTTTACAGTACACAGAAGCATGTTTGCATCTGTGGTCTTCTCTGATCCTTACTATGGTTCTGTCAGGCAATAATGGTCAGTGTACACTTCTAAACAGAAGGAGAGAGACCAAGGCTCAGGGAAGCCCTCCCCCTTTTGCAGCACTGTCGCCTTGGGTCACATGGTTAGCCCTGCACTGAGGGATGATGTCCGGTATCTGCACTTCTGCTGTGGTCCAGGTGCTATGCTTGACCCCTAGATGCATCTTCTCTTTAAGTCTCACAGCAGCCCTGCATTATCCTGTTTCTTAGACAAGTAAAATGAGACTTGAAGAAGCCAAGCAACACATTCAGACACATGCGGTGGTGGAAGTGGGTCTCAAATCTCATCTGTTTGATTCCCAATCCCGTGCTTATTTTATGGTACCAGCAGAAGTGCTGTGACCATGCTGGGTGAGGACGTCATGGGGACTTGATGGAGGGCTCGTCTAGAGAAGCTTGAGACAGGCTTCTGTTCCCTAAAGGGACTGGCTGTGCGCTTGCTTTTATCTGGGCCTCCCCCACAGCTCAGGGATCAGGGGAGAGCGTGATGGGGCAGGGCCAAATCCTCTCTCAATTCCTTGGGGGCAAGATTGGGTTCTGATCACTCTGAGAAAGGGCTGCAGGGGAAGTGCCTGAGAGAGAGTGAAAGAGAGGTCACACATCTGCACCCTAAGCCATGGGAAAGAAAAGGAGACCAGGCTGACCCCCTGGCTGTGCCCAGCAGGGACTCTCCTAGTTCCTGTGAGGGCTGGGGAACACCTTTATTCACACTCTGGCCACAGGGCCACAGAGAAGCAGGTGTCTGGGCCATTCAGGAAGGCCCAGTACCTGCCAGGGAAGTGGGCCAGGTGTGGGGTGGTGCTACATGCCAGGGGAGGTATTAAATGAGCTTCCAGCCAATTTGCATGTCCTAATTAAGCAGAAAATGAGCCCTAGCGGCAGAAGTGAGCTGCCAGTCTGTCTCTACTTACTCTCACCTTCTCTTCATACCCTTCATACCACTACTCCCCACTGCCTACATTTTCAGGCATCGTGCGGCCCTGGGCAGTCCCTTCCACCTCTTCCCTTGGCTTCAGTAAAATAGTCTCCATCATTGTCCCAGCAAGAGCCCAGAAGGCAAGGGGAAAGTTAACATTATTGGGGCAGGGCTGCTAAGCGAATTACCATAATCTCACGTTAGCAACACATGACAGTGCGTGGGGTGGTCCATCAGCCCTGTCAAGACCCAGGCAGGATTCCTCCACCAGACAGTCAGCATGCCGTTTATTACCCATGCAGGGCCACGGGTAATATGGGGAGGACAGGCTTGCTGTTCCTCTTGATTTGGCTTGGGGACAGAGAGGGATAATTTGTGGGGTAGTGTGAAAAGCACAAGATGGGAAGTCAATGGGAATTGTTTCGGTCCCAGCTGTCACTCGTGACCTTGACAAGCTGTTTCACATCTCTGAGCCTATCCATGTAAAATAAGAGTCACAGCAGCCACTTGCAGGGTGTAGTGAGAAGGAAACAAGAACACCAAGATGAAGGTGCCTGGCACTTCCGAGTTACGCTGGCAGCAGATGGCACTTCCTAGATGTTTTGTTCTGGCTCAAATTAATTGGCTGATCATGTCTTGCAACTCTCTAGCTCTCCGAAGGGTAAGAGTTTGCTTCTGTCTCTTCCACTGGTGGCAGTCAGTAGCTGGGACCTTCCCATTGCACTCTCCTTAGTTCCTCCAGCAGAGCCTGGCATCGGGAGGTGTTTATGAAGTTTTGTTCAGTTGATCTGAACTGTTGTGACAATCCATAAAACAGATACATTGCAAACAAATGGCTTACAAGTGGCTTGCTTGTCTATGGAATCATTCCAGACTCAGAGCTGGTGTCATCTTGAATAACTTGCTGAATGACTTCTCTACTACCCAGCAGCCCAAGGCTCCCTCCTTTCAACAGCCAGCGAATCATAGCATTCTGTGCACGCGCGCACACACACATACACACACACACACACACTCACACATGTCACAGCCACCACCAAAGGCAGCCACAGCCAATGTCCTTTCACCCAAGACCGAAGTGTTGGAGTTCTCAGGGGAAACACAAGGTCTGCCTTCCCCAGGACGAGCAAGCTCAGTTCTCCAACTCCAGGTATCAGAGAGGAAAGGACAGGAGTTTGGGGAGCCAGATAATTCTTGGGTTCAAATCTTGGTGCTATCATTTGCTAACAGCCTGATCCGGGCAATGTCCAAGACCCCTGAGAGCCTCCATCATGTATCTGGAGGAGAATAATGCCTGAGGGTCATTCTAAGTTTGGAAGAGGTAGGCCCACCATCTGGCAAGTAGCAAGTGCTAAAACAAAACAAAACACAGGGCCAGTGAGTGGCATGGTGGTTAGGGCGCTGGATTCCTACGTGTTCAACCTCAGTTCGAATCCTTGACCTGGCAGCTTGAAAAATCAGAGCCGGGTGTGTGTTTGTGTGTGTGTGTGTGTATTTGTCCCTAAAACCTTGAGAGGAGAATAGGGAAGAGATTGCAGCATGGCCATCCCCCCAGGGGGATGATTTCTCATTTTCTCTGTGTCTCTTTCTACATCTCTCTTTGGCAAGAGCATGTACTCTATGACAAAAGCAAAACAAAACAAAAACACCAGTGCCTTTCCCTCATACAGCTTTTCCCACCCAAAAGTAAACATCTACGCCAGGCAGTGGAGGAGCGGCTCTGCAAGGCTGCCGCACATCGGAACATGGCTGATTCGCACCCTAGACCTCTCTGAGTACACCTAGCACACGTATGCCCATGATCTGCGTTGGCTGAGGCTGGGGGTGGGTCCTGGCATCAAGACTGCCGGAGGTGCACGCACTTGCTCTCTCTCTGACCCATGGAATAAATAAATTAAAAAAAAAAATTAAACATCTACAATTTGCCTGGGAATCTCAGGGTACCCTAACCATCCTGCTTCATCCCTTACCCCCAACTCCAGCTCTGATCCCTTCCTGTCTCTGCCCCCTGAGGGTCTAGAATGCAGGCAGGAGACTTGCTTGCTTGTTATTTTTCTTCTCCAATTTGCGATTAATGCTCTGAGGGCAGGAAGGCATCGTGCCTCTAATTGCAGCTGTCACCCCCTATCAGGCAAGGGGCAATCAGCCAAGAGGTGGAGAAGGGAGGAGAGAGGAGGGTGTGTTCTCCCAGGCTGGTTTGGCCCAAAACAGGGACCCGCATTGTCTTTTCCCAGCCAGTGGGCGTCCCCTGCCTACACGGGAGGAACAGTGGCCTCCTGGGGCGGGCAGAGGCAGGCCCTAGATCCTCTCTCAGGGCCACATGCCCAAGATGCTGTCCCGGTTTTGCCCCTGCTGACTGAGTGAGAGGGGGCCACAGCCTGGAGCTGGGTATCAAAAGAGCAAGTGGGTGTTTCCTAGGGGCTAGACTCAGCCTCACTGGTGAACTCACCCGTCATTCTGGTCATTCTGTCCCGAGTGCAGGAGGAGGCAGTGGGGTGGGGGCTATGGAGCGGGGAGGAGTGTCCAACCCCGGGGGCCAGCCTCCACTCTGCAGCCAGGCCTGCATGTTCCTCACCTGCCGACGGTGTGCACTCTGACAGGCAGCATTTTCACATCTGGAGAACAGGATCACGTCTGCCTTCTTGTCTATGTACGATGACGTCACGGATGTGCACACGCTTTCAGACAGTACAGTGCTGTACAGCTGCCACGTCTCCCGTGCTTGGGGGAAGACAGTCGTGTCTGGACTTCACGGTGCTCCTTACACACTCTGCTCCTTAGCTCACTCCTCGGGGCCAGGGACGGCTGGAATGGCAAAGGCCCCAGGAAGGGCTGGCTTCAGTCCCTGGGCTGGGAGCAATGCCTTGCCAGGGAAATAAGTATATAAGGTGGGGGCAGCACAGACAGGTCTTTATTGGCAGCCTTTCTGACACCTGAGGCCTCAGGGTCCTTTCTCATACAGAATGTCCAAGTGAGGTCTTTGGGGGCAGTGCAGAAAAGCCAGAGAAATTCCCTGGTCTCTTTCTGTCCCGTAGTGAGCACAACACCTATACACGCATGCGTGCACACACACGCGCGCGCACACACACACACACACACACACACACACTCTT